GGCCTCTTTCTGACTGTGCATGTGACTACAACATTGTTGCAGTTCCTCCGCCCAGCTAATGTGACAGGTCAGCAACTTTTGCTGCTGCCGGGTCATCCTGTTCCCTTTGCGTATCTTGAGATGTCTTTGTTACCTGTTTCCCACACACAGGATTGATGGTTCAATCTTTTACTACTTTGTTTCAATCACAGTCACAGAGTAAGCAAATAAAAACAAGGTTAGGCATAATGAGAATTTTCAGTGATTATACATTTCTCCATAGTCATTGATTAACATTATTCCATAAAGGACAACTAGAATTTGTTCTCCTACAATAATTGGAATCAACTTACCGAGTGCCTATATGTGCTCAGCAGAATTCTAGAACCCAGGGAGAGTGTCTCTGCCCTTGAGTAACTATAGTCTGAGAGAAGAGAAAGAAATTCAAGAAAGTGCCTTACCAACCAGTGTGGAAAGAGCATCAGTGATCTGTGCACAGCACACAGGGAGCCGAGGGTTGGGGGAGCTTGCCAGGGTAGGCTGTGTGGAGGCTGAATCAGAAAGGAGACGGACAGGTAAGACAGGACAGGTGGGAAAGACTGATGGAGGCAGGGACAGGAAGGAGGATGTGCCTAGCAAGGGAGGCCACGTGGGGGTAGGAAACAAGTACCTGGAATCCCACCACTTCACTCCTAGATTACCCGGACAGTCCCACTGGCCTCAGTGGTCTCCCCATCCAAGTTCACCTGAACACTCTGGCAAATAGATCCCCCAAAGCATAACCTTGATCGCTCCCACTGCCCTTCTCAAGAATCTGCATTGTCATTAGTTATCAAAGTATGCTCCAACAGCTGCTTTCATTGAAGAATCTATTGCAGCATAACTTTATTTTTGCTACAACTTATCAACATCCCTCAAAAACTGCTTGTCGACTGGGGGCATATCCCTGCTCTACATGTTCATTTATGTCACTCTCCAACTAGATTCTATCCATGTTTAGAATCCAACTCATGTGTCACCTCTTCTTAGCCCTTTTTTACCTTCACCAGCTGCCAAAACTGGGCAGTCACCACGATAGACTCAGAATGTTTTTATATCTCAAATTAATATGAGGGTGCAAATATTTAGGTTACATTGTTCCCACTTTCAAGGTAAAATTCAAGTAGAAAACCCTGAACCCCGTTTGGTCCAATTTCTTTATCTGTCCAGTTACTCAAGTAGTAATCCATTCCTTCCTTCATTCATTCAAGAGGCTATTTGTGGATCATCTATTGTATATAATTGTTCTTAAGCTAAATGTTCCATGTTAAAGTTATTGTCTCTGCCATTTTTTCTTATCCTTCCTCCTGTTCACTACCATCCGTCAAACCTGTTTCCTCTCCCTATATTCTAACATCCAAGCTGGAAAATTCATAAGCTTTCTTTACTTCCCTCTCTTAACTCCCATGGCCAATTGGTCACCCAGTTGTGTTCGTTCTTTCTCATAAAACATGTCTAAACTCACCCTGCTGCAGCCTCGCAGGCTGGAGAGCTGTTGCAGCAGCTGGGTGATTGAACACCTCACCTCCATTCTCTCCATCAGAATGGTCTCCTTAAAACAGAATGTCAAACATTTATTGAGGGCCTAGCAAGCACCAGGTACTATGTGGGGCATAGGAAATCTAAATCTAAGTAAAAATGATTTTGACTCCTGCCAAATTGAGAGGCTCTTCAGAGTGGGGGCATTAGCTAACGCCACACATGAATCCCTGGCATCTAGCCAACGTCCCAGCACATCATCATTGATTAATAGATACTGTTTTGAAAGCATAAATGAGTGGAAAGTTCTGTCTGTAAGTGGTCTCTAAAGATAAATGACACAACATTTTCTGCCCTCAAAAAGGGAAAATTAAGCTACGGAGACACACACATAAGTATAACACCAGAAGGTAGTTTGATAAATTGCATGAAATCAGTTTGTAGAGAGTCAGATTTCTCATTTCTTTTTTGGAGCAAAATAGCTGGTAGTTGAGGGGGTAAGACTGGGGTCTGGTAGGTGCTTACCTAAACTCATTCTCCAAAATTGGTCTATTTTCCAAAATGTTTAAAGAAATAAGTTGGCATGGTGGTCATAAAAATTGTTATAAGAGCATTATTATGTAAATCTTAACTTCCAGAGAGTACGGGGCAGGCACAGAGGAGAGACACATTCTACTCGTGTAAAATGAAGGACCAGTCAAAACACTGTGTTAAGGACTCAGAGGGGGAAGTTAGCTTCTAGCTGGTAGTCAGTCCCCTCATATATTTGTAAATACAGATTGTTTAGGAAATGATGAAAAAACATATTTCACAAAATCCTCTGCATGCAATGCGTATCCTGGATTTGGATGCTGGGACAGGAAAAAAAGGACATTAGTAGATAAACTGGTGAAATATGAATCCACTCTGTAATGCAGTTAACTGTAATTTACTAATGTTATTGTCTGCTCTTTGACAAATGTGTCATAGACAAAGTTGTTAGCAACAGGGAAAACTGGGTGAAGTTCTTGGCAACTTTTTTGTGAGTCTAAAATTGATTCAAGTAAAAAGTTTATTAAAATTAAGTCAAGTTCTGGCTGGGTGTGGTGGCTTACACCTATAATCCTAAGATTGCTTGAGCTTAGGAGTTCTAGACCAGCCTGAGTAAGAGCAAGACACCATCTCTACTAAAAATAGAAAAACAAGCCAGGCATGACTTGTTTCCTGTAGTCCCAGCTGCTTGGGAGGCTGAGGCAGGAGGATCCATTGAACCCAGGAGCTTGGGGTTGTTGTGAACTAGGCTGGAGTGACAGCACTCTACCCTGGGCAATGGAGTGAGATTCTGTCTCAAAATTAAAAATTAAAAAAAAATCCAGTTCTAGCCTCTTATCTCCACAACGTAATGAACAAGAAAAAGTTAGTCTATGATTCAGTCATCAGTGGTCAGATTGCATGACTCAAAGGGAAGGTAATCAAAGGAGGTTGTCTTTTTAATATTCTTACTGTCCCCCAACTCATTCCGAAAGCCTAGCCCAGCTCCTAGACCCTCTATCCCCAAAAATCTGTTCTTACTCTCCTGTGTAGCTACTTAGTAGCATAGTAAGGCTGGTCTTTGCCAGCTTCTTCTCTGACCAGGGATATTTTCTCTACTTTGTCTCCACAAAACAATACCTCTCACTTTGAGCAGTAGGCTTCCCTGCTCACCTCCATTCAGCTATCCACCCATCACAATATTGTATTACATTGTCTTGTTGTAACATTTTCCTAGCATTTAGCTGGATGTAAATTTATCTTGTTCACTCACTTGTTTACCTATATCTATCTTCCTTATCTAGGCAGTAAGCTCCTGAAAAAGCAAGGACCTTGCCTGTCTCACTCACTGCTGATCACTGGGGCCCAAAACAATACCTAGCACAGAGCAAATGGTATTTTTTTCATTAAGTAAAGAAACTTCTCAAAAGAAAGGTTGTTGTTTTATGCTTCTGTGCCTGCTCCAGCTCCTAAGATCATTGTAATAATAATGATTTGAGTGAATTGCAATAATGCTCCTTAAAATGATCTCTCTTTCTTATACTCACCAATTCACCAAAGACATGTCTTGAGAACCAGCCAAGTGCTTACTATAGTGCAGAAATAACACAGAACCAGAGTCCAGTCCAGGGAAGTCAGGCCATATGAAGAAAGCATGTTCCTGCTTATTTACAGAAATACAACACTTTCTAAGTTCCTATCCACTGTAGAGTGGTTAACCTTATCAAAAACAGCATTTGAAAGTTCCTAGAAATCACTTCAAGAGTCCGAATGCAGTGATTGGAGAAGATGAGTCTGTTATTTCCAGCTCACAATTCTAAAGTGTTGGTGAAATAAGCTGGTTTGTTTTCCCAGTGAAGTGGGACATTTTTTTACTCAGATGAAAAGCAGCTACACAAATATTTTTGTTTTATAAACACTTGTCTAAATTTTAAGGATCTCAAGTGAAATCAAAAAATAGCATGGATAAGACATGGTCTATGTAGAATTTATTTACACTTTTAGTCAAGAGATGTATCTCCCTCCCTTGTCTTCTTGCCACTAGCTCAGCATCTATGCACAATGGATAGTAAATAAAAGGCTTATCCTCAGCCCCATTCCAAGACTAGAATGTTGCTGCTGTCGCCTGCTTCCCTTTCATTGCATCCACCATAGTTTACTATAAGTGTTTAATTTTCTGTCTCCTCCCTGTAAGATCTGCAAGTGCCACAAAAGTGAGCCAGGTCTACCCTGTCGATGATTTATCTCAGCATTTATCATGCATCTGCCATACACTTTTAGCACAAATATTCTCACAAAGCAATTGCTTAAAAAGTGAATAATTGGTGAATGACAATGACTATGTTCTTAGGAAAGGGACCTCTGTGACAGGGAGCCAAGCCAGAAGTCTTAAAGACTTATATATTGAATAGATACTAGGACAGTCACTAGCAGTGACGGACAATAGAATTTTCAGACGTGTGTGACTGTTACCTCCTCAAACTCTTACAGTTATTTTCTGATTACCCAATCATATGATACACATTTGTTTAAGATAGTAATTGTTGACGTTGTTGAAATAATTCTCAGCCCCAATTTTGAGAGCTGATGCAAGGTTATGACTTCTCATGTAAAAAAAAAAAAAAATCCTGAAGAACTGGCATCAGTAGACTCATCTATAATTTTTAAAACGCTATCAATCTATAAAGTTAAGTATTTTCCACTTGAAGGGATCGGCTTCTCTGATATAAATGCTTTGAACATAACACAAACGTGTGTTTTACGCTCTGCCAAATCTGCCAAAGCTCCCAAATCGCCCCAGAGCACAACCAGCTCTAGCGCTAGGTGAATCCGGTGCATGACTTGTCCTCCAGTCCCCCAGGGGGCGCTGCAGAGAATTTGACAGCCGAGGGTACCACGATGAGCGCTTCCGAAATCATTTCCCCCGGGAAGCATTTCCGTTCCACCGGGCTCCGGCGCTCCTGTGACGCATTTCCGGCTTTGCTGACCTGCGCACGTGCGGCAGCAAAGGAAGTAACGTCAGCCCGGACAGCAGAGGATTCTTGCTGAGGCGCGGAGGTGCAGGCGTTTCTACAAGATGTCTAACCTGCCCATGAAACTCCTGCGCAAGAAGATCGAGAAGCGGAACCTCAAGTTGCGGCGGCGAAACCTAAAGCTGCAGGGTAAGGTGGCGCTGATATCTCGCGGTGGCTGAGGGGGTCCACGCGCGGGCCGTGGCGCGCTTGGGCGGCCGGCCGGCCCGGCAGTGCTGGCTGGGAGGCCCCGCCGCCCCGGGCTGGCGGAGACAACTTTCCTCGGAGCACGTGTGATTATGGAGAGTGAAAAGGCAGCCTGGGGCTGCGCACCCGCCGGGTGGCCCGGAACTGTTCCTGACGTTTCGGGGCATCACTTTCTCTTTACAGGGTGGGAGCAGCAGGCCTGCAGGTTACCTATCTCCCAGGCTTCCGGCAGGGCTTCCAACATTGCTACCTTTGGGGCTTTCGCCTTATGCATTTTGTCTCCCTTACCGCATGCAGGTCCCACCTCGCACCCACCCTTCCCCTGTGACGGATCAGGCATGTGGAGCTTTCTCATCTTCACGCACTTTTCACATTTCTACTTAGTTTCTGTATTTCTTTACCCAAAAGCTCGTGACACTTTTCACAGAGCTTTTGTGGTACTCTGGTGGCACTGTACTCATCACCATGCTCTCCCTTGACTCCTGTTTCTCACCTCATTCTCAGCTCGGAGGTAGCTTCTGCGCAGGTAAGGTGCTCCCTGATAGTCCCATCACTCTCAACTTTAGATCTTAAATTACTTGTGAGCTTCTGGCGTCTACGTGTTAAGAAGTCACGGTGACTTAAGTGAAATGTAAATGTCACCTTACTTAGCTACTTCATTTGTAGTCCCATTTCCTGACAGTGTGCCACAGATCTCAAAGTAATTGTGTTAACCTTTTGAAGTTCCCTTATATTTTCATTCCCTGTAGAATAATACAGCATCACTGTGATTTAGTGTAGGCATTGACAATTTGAATAAAACATGATGTTACTTACATTTTCTCTTTATATATATGAGAATATCCTTGTAAAAATATTCTCAAGTACGGTTATGCGTCCCTTAAGGACATCTTTATGTTTTGAGAAAAGCGTAGTCAGCAGTGCAGTTTCATCATTGGGTGATCATGGAGTGTGTACTTACACAAACCCCGATGGTACGCCATACTCACACCTCGGCTGTGTGGTGTGGCCTGTTCCTCCTGCGCTACGACTCTGCACATTGTGTTTCCTTAGGGAAGAGTTGTAACACAATGTAAATATTTGTATAACCATAGAAAAGGTGGTAGGGTAGAAATACTACCTACAATGTAAAAGATAAAAATGGTACTCCCACATAGGGCACCTAACCATGGATAGAGCTGGTAGGACTGATAAATGATGGAAAGTATGTAACATTATTGTAGATTTTGTAAACATTGTACACTTAGGGTACACTAAATTGATAAAAAGTATTTTCTTCAGTAGTAAACCTTTGTTTATAAACTTTTACTTTATAAACTTTGTAATTTTTTTTTACTTTGACTCTTGTAAATAACAACAGCTTAAGTTACAGTTAAACAGAATTATTTTCTTTATATCTTTATTCTGTAAGCTTTATGTTTTTAAGATTATCTTTTGCACTTTTTAAACTATTAAAAAGACTCAAAAACATACATTAGCCTAGGCCTTCTTGAGGTCAGGATCATCAGTACGACTGTCTTCCACCTCCACATCTTGTTTCCTGGAAGGTCTTCACAGGCAGTAATGTGCATGGAGCTGTCATCTCCCATGACAGCAATGCCTTCTTCTGGAACACCTTCCAAAGAACCTGCCTGAAGCTCTTTTATACTTAACTCTTTTTTTTTTTTTTTTTTTTTTTTTTTTTTTTTT